CACTCCGCCCCCTCCCTCTCCCCCCCCCAATACCCAGCAGAAACTATTTTGCCCTTATTTCTAATTTTGTTGTAGAGAGAGTATAAGCAATAATAGGTAGGAACAAGGGTTTTTGCTGGTTGAGATAAGGATAGCTATACAGTGCATTGACTCACATTGATTTCCTGTGCGTGGGTGTTATCTTCTAGGTTAATTCTTTTTGATCTAATGTTTTCTCTAGTACCTGTTCCCCTTTTCCTATTGGCCTCAGTTGCTTTAAGGTATCTGCTTTAGTTTGGACACCTTATTTTTTCCCAGATCCTCAGACTTTACAGATTGCTACTGGCCTTCTTACCCTTCCCTGCAGACCTATCCCTGTGAATCTGTTATCCTGCTTGATTCCCACTCACGCTCTAATTGTAAGGTGCTTTAGGAGTTAATGCTGTGCCCTGTGGGGTGAGAGGTTTCTAAGTAGCAGATTGGAACTAGCTGAGAATACTGGCCTGTAGTTTCCATGCACTGCCTGTCTGTGGGTCTTGGGGTTGTGTTCTGCACTGTCTCCCTTATCCTATCACTGTTGTTTCTGTCACACCTATAAATAGCTGTTTTCCTCCAGCCAGGAATATGACAACTTTAGCATTCCCCAGTCAGGATAGGAAGGTGGGGTCCTCACCTGATTTCAGCTCCAGTGGCTTTGGCAGAGCTCGCCCCCAGCCAGCTTACTAGGAATGAGGAAAGTCCAGTGTCCCCCTGGTGGGTTCTTTTAATAGATTCTCTTTACTTTTGGCTCCTCACCCCAGTTATCATTGTGAATTTGGTTTGAAGTTTTACTTACTGCTGTTTTGTAAAGTACACATGTTCTTTGCTTCAAGTGGAAGAGATTAGGAAATATGGTAACTTGCTGTCTCTATGTCTGCTCCCTAGGCTCTGCAGAGCAGCTCCTGAGCCCAGAGTGTTGGAAAGCCACTCTGAGAGCCCTGGGCTGCTGCACTCTGAGCGGCCAGCAGGGGACAGCTGGTGCCAAGAGCACTGTGCTTCAGAACTCTGCAGATGTTCTCTTGTCAGACAAGCAGGTGTGTAGCTTTTGGTCTGTGCCGTGCTTGTGTGTTTCTTTTATTATTTATTTATTTACTTTTGTGGAACTGGGGATTGAACTCAGGGCCTGTGCTTGCTTCCAGCCCTGTGTACTTCTTTTCCATTTCCCTTGCTGTTTATTGTATTTAAAACAACCGGAGCATATTTAACAGAATCTAAAAAAATGCTTTTTGTGCACTATCTGGAGTCCTGTATTTTTCTTTGTTGGACCATTGCTGCCTCCATGTCCTCTTGTCTGAATAGCTCTTCTCTCATATTCCTGAGTCTTGATTTCTTACCTTTCTCTCCAGAATGAGGCCAATGCTCCCCCAGTATAAACTTTCCCTCCCCACCTTAGCACATCCGACTCATGCGCATCTGACTGGACCCTGAGGCCATTGGGTTGAGGCTCTGGGTCCCACAGAGTCCTCACTTTTACCAATTTTACCTAACGTGGTTCTCACAAGAATTATTTGAAGCTGGGTGTGGTGGTGCATTGCTGAAATCCTAATACTTTGGAGTCTGAGGCAGGAGGATCATGAGTTCAAGGTCAGCCAAGGCTACATGGTGAGACCCTATTTTAAAAACCAGAAACCTCAGAGTTTTTATTAGAGATAAAAGTTCTACTTCTTTAGAAAAAGAGCTTGAAACACACTGATTTATTTCATGCTATCTTTTTGCAACTCTTAAAAAAAAATCAAAGACTGATATACTCCTGCCATAATAATCTGCTAAAGGGCTAGGGATGTCACTCAGTGTAATAGAGTGCCTGGCATGTGTGAGGCCCTGGGTCTGATCCCCAGCTCCACAAAAGAATACAAAGAATACATTTTAGTAAGCAGTTTTTAATTGGTCATCTCTTCCAGGTAGTGGAGACCATACAATGGTTTTCAGACTTTTTTTATAAGCTTCGGTTATCCAAGGTGGATTTTAAAAGCTTTGGTTTATTCTCAAAATGGAGCCCTTATATGGCTGATGTGAAGACATTCTTAGGCTATCTTGTGAAAAGGCTGATTGACTCAGAAATGAACTCCTTGGCTCAAGACCCATCTGCCAGCAGCATAGCAGGTAATATGTTTCTAGTGCAGGGTGGAGTGAGGCATTTTGCCCTTCCACTAAATGAAATGTGAATAGTCACTTTAGGAGATGTATACTGAGTGTCAGGGAGAGGAATAGAAAATACATTTATTACACAGTGCTGGAGAGTGCTTGATGTAGCTCGTCTCTGCCCCTCCTTGGCAGGATGTGGTGCAAAGAGACTTCTAGCTCCAATTCCTTCCGCATGTTATTTATCTAACTAAGGACAGAGTTCTGGTTATTAAACATTTATCTTGGAAAAAACATATTTTATGAAGTTATCCACAACATTGTGTGTAACAAAAATTCATCAATTCAGCAGGGTGCTGGTGGCTCGTGCCTGTCATCTTAGCTACTTGGGAGGCTGAGATCAAGATGATCATGGTTTGAGGCCAGCCTGGGCAAATAGTTTGCAAGTCCCCATCTCCAAATTAACTAGAGCAAAATAGACTGGAGATTTGACCTGCTTTGTAAGCAAGAAGCCCTGGGTTTAAATCTCAGTCCCAATAAATTAAAATTCTTCAACTAAAGAAATTCATTGCAGCAAATAGAAACATAAACATACTTAGTTACATTAAGAATATCATTGTATATCATTTATGAGTCTACAGATAATAAGTAAATTTTCTATAAAATGTTACCAATGATATTGACAAAAGATGAGCTTGTCTCCAAAAATTTTGCTGTTTCAGCGCTGAGATCCCTACATTCAGTAATCATTCAGCTCTTTAAGCCATGGATCCTGGTTTTAGAGGACACTGAAAGGTAAATAGTTTTTCACATATTCAAGTTTCTTTGAAATTTATTTATTTAAAAGTTCTAAAATTTGATAAAGGTAATACTGAGTTCTCAGATTTAATTTTTAGTGTAGGGCTAATTTAAATTTAGAAAATATTTTCTACAAAATTGAAGACATTTTCTATTTGTGGAATATTTGGTTTGTTTTTTGGGACAAGGTCTTTCTATGTGGCCCAGGCTGGCCTTAAACTCATAGTTCTCCTGCCTCTGCCTCCCAAATGCTGGCATTACAGATGTGCGCCACCATGGCTGGAATTACTAGTCTGGGTAAGATCAGAGATGTTGTCCTGATATTAAAGTTGGAACAAAATAGGACACTCATTTCCAATTTTCCATAATAAAGGACTTGAATGTGTTTTGGTGCTTAGTTTTAGAAAACTGGATGCTGTTCTCCTGGGATTTCTCTTAGATTTTGATAATGTAAAACCGCACTTAGTGTTTTCTACTACCTTAGTTTTTTTTTTTTTTTTGGAACTAAGTTGGCCATCACATTATTGGGTGGGAATTAATCCTTTAAACATGGAACTCCACGATTAAATGAAAACATTTTTTCATGAGTTTTAGAAGTGTAGTTTTTTTCTCTAAAAGTATACAAACAGAAATGAGGTGAACCAATCACAAGTTTTATAAAAATTACCACAGTGGTAAATGACAACATATTTTTATAAGGTGTTTTCAGAAGCATTAATTTGATCCCAAGACTCAGAGGTCACAGATGTTTTACTTGCATCTCCTTTCTGGTTGGTTCATGCCAAAGCCAGGGCTAGAGATCAGTTCTTTGGCTCTTGTTTCAAGATGCTTTGCATTAACCCATGTTGCTTCAAAAGCACCTTAGAGAAAGCATGAACGATTCTGGATTTTTGCTTTTGCTAGAGGGCCATCCTTGAATAATGGACAAACTTCAGGATTCTGTAGTGACAAAATAAAGACTAAACCACAGGCTGCTTGTTTATTTCCAAGAAGGGTTAATGAAATTTATTTTGATATTGAACTTTCTTGACTAGACCCAGAATATACATTTTCATGTAAAGCGTTTCTTTGGTTATTTCCTGTCTGTCAATTTTGGGTCATCATTTTGTTATGTGGATTTTTTTTTTCATGCTCTGTGTAGAGAAAGCTGTTTGTTGAAGCCTTCTTAAAGTTTTTTTTTTCTGTAACCAAGATGTTCAAGGGTGTAAATTGGATGTAAAAAGATGATAATTTAAGGGTTATTTAGATAGCAAACTTCTGAATCTTAATTGCACTGGAATGAAGGGTAGGAAGGAGAGGAAGTAAAATTATATAGTGGATGTTACACTACAGTTTGCCTCCAGGAATTTATAGCCTTTGAAAGGGTGTAAGTATGTGTTAGACTGCATAATGGAGGGTTTTCTAGGACTTGGGCCAGTCCTAGACTCTGGGAACAAGAGTAATTTAATCATGGCATTTAATTTCTGAGCATGTGTTTCTTTTTTTAAAAAGTAGTCAACAAAGACATTACCCATGGCTGGAGAGTGATGCTGTGGTGGCCTCTAGCATTGTGCAGCTCTTCACTGACTGTGTTGACTCATTGCATGAGCGTTTTAAAGGTAGGAAGATGTCATATGATATCTCCTGTTAGTGTTCATTTTTACCCTAAGTCATTCAATCATTCTTTTGCCTCTGCTTTCCTACTTAATTTTATTTTAGTTTGTAGACTGTGACTAGAGAAAGGTCAGTAATACAATTATTTACTCTCAAGTTTATAGCTTCTTATCTTTTTTTTTGTGAAGCTGCTCTGAGTTTGTCAATTATAGAATATTCCTAGCCATTCTCTTGTCAAATACTGCCTATCCCAAGTTTTGAGGGGTAGCTCCCTACCATTTTCCATAATGACATACTGATTACATCCCCATCAACAATGTACAGGCATTCCCTTTCCTCTGCATCCTCTCCAACACTTGTCTTCCATCTTTTAAATAAAAGGCATTCTAATAGGTGTGAAGTGGTGTTTCATTGTGCTTTCAGTTTGCATTTCTCTAACGATTAGTTGATGCTGAGCATTTTTTCATGTACCTGTTGGCCATTTGCATGTCTTTTTGAGAAATTTCTTGAACATTTCCTTTTGGAGAATATTGAATTCTTCCAAGGTGCTAAATGAACAAAGTACTAGATGAATGAGATTGAATACATGGGGAGGGCAACAGACTATAGCAGTATATTTGAATTAAAAAGTCTCTGTCCCACACAACCAATCATCTGCTTCTCCCAGGTACCTGAGTAAGTAAAATAATAGCCTAATATTAACCTACCAATGGTCCTTCTCTCCGGCACATGAAAATCCTTTACAGTGGGTAAATATTGAGGGCCTTAAATTTTTAGTTCAAATTTGTGTTCTATGTAGCTTTTTAAAAAAGAGTCTCCAACTGTATGTTCTTTTAAAATTCTAGACAAGCTGTTGCCAGGTGATGAAGGAGCCCTTCGGTTGCACTTGATGCATTATTGTGAAGCATGTACAGCACCCAAAATGCCAGAGTTCATTCTGTATGCTTTTCATAGTGCCTACCGGAAACTCCAGTGGAAAGACCTATACCCCGACCAGATGCTCATGGAGGCCTTCTTCAAAGTGAGCTCTTCTCCCCCATGTCACAGCACTGTGGTTGTTGTGCGTGGGCAGTGTCTGCCCAAGTGTGCTGGACACACTTTCTGTGTCACTTCAGCAATACTTGTGCAAAGCAACAGCTCTGGGAAGCATTCGTTATATTCACTAATAGATGACTGAAAAGCATCTGTAGGACCATTTTTTAAAACCCAGAGGAAGATTTTGTCCTTCATACGTTGGCTGTCCTTTAGACTTCATAGTAATGTGGTACAAGTACCTAGCTTAATGACTTTGTCTTGCTCAGTCTTGGCTGGTGTTAATGTGTATATACAGTCTTTTTCGAGGTTAGCTTCTTTAGGACTACTTGTTGTAAAATGTGAATTGGCACTCAAGCCGTTAGTTTCATTGAGCAGTTATGCAAATGAATAATTAGGTTGTAGGAGATAAAGTGCATTCTAACAACCGATGATGGATACATCTTAATCGTGAGAGACATGAAATGATCTGAAAAATGTGCCAGTGAGCGTGGGTGTGGATTTTATGATGGAAGCCAAAGTTCAGCAAAGGAGCCCTGCAGTGTAACTTACATACAAGCCAGGAGTTGTTTTTCTTATTTTCTGTTTTAAAAAACCCTTTACACTGTTGGCTTGGGTTTTTACAATCATTTCCTTTTATTTCATTAGTCATTGGTTCACTTGTGTTTACTCTTAACTAAATGTTACATTCATTATTGAGATACTTTAAGTGCTTTCATTGATACAGATCTACAGTTATTTATGATGATTAGTAAAATATGCTAGAGCTCTTCTGTGCTTTTAATGAAGCCCCACCCAGTGCTGCCCTTGGCAGCCAGTCCTCCGTAGCTGAGCTCCAAGGAAGTTGAGGGCAGTTGTTTAGAGAAATACCGGGTTTAACAATGATTGAATAGCTAGGTTTAGTAGTTGAAGCAGGTACTGAGTACATGTTTACTCATCATTATGAATACTTGAGAGAAAGTTGGTTTGAAGAGCTGTGAGACAGCATTTTAACTAAGACAGCACCCTTCACTATCTATGACTAATCAAATAGTGGAATGATAGGGATGATTTCTACTCTGTCTCTAGGGGTTTTATTCAACCCTGACCTGCTCAGAAGGTGGGAATCTTTTAATCTACTTTAATCTTTAAAGTAGAGTAGAACTTTGAATCTTCATTTTGAAAGGAAAAATTTGTGACTTAGCCCGGCTTTATTTTACACAAATTAGAAATATTAAAATGAGCTTATAAAACATACCTTTGAGGTTGGTTATATACTTTATGGCACATCTTACAGAACAAAACCTCTTGTAGCATTTAAGTATTATATAGTCATCAAAAATTATAAAGACTAGCAATGATGTGGAGACATTTCTATAATATAACATTTCATCTAAGTGGTATAAATATTACATATACTAGTTTTGCAGTTCTTCAAGTGTGGTTCCAGGATGTCACATGAACATCTCCTGGGAACTTTTGAGAAATGAACATTCTTGCTCCCAGCCCATGCCTAGGAAATTAAACTCTGGGGGTAGGCCCAGCAACCTGTTTTAATGGTCCTCTGTGCAGTACTGATGCACACTAAAACTTGGGGACTACCTAGTAGTGGAGTTCACTTTTCTTCCTGTCTCACCCAGCTCACCTGATGGCCTGACACCTCTTCCACCTGAGTCCAAATTAGGGGAGGTTCTTCCTCTATTCAGAAATATCAGAATAGATAATGAAATCCAAATAAACAGGCAAGCTTTAAAAATGCACATACATATGGAATATGGAAGAAAACCTAAATGTTAAATCTAAATCTATGGAAGGTAGAATTAAGAATGATATTTATAATCTGGGAAAAGTATTTTTTAAAATTAATTTATGAAATGTTGATTTATACACATTTTCAAGATATATCAAACAGTGCAAAACAAACATTGATTTTCATTCATTTTGTTTTAGGTGGAACGAGGAAGCCCCAAGAGCTGTTTCTTGTTTTTGGGGTCTGTACTCTGTGAAGTCAATTGGGTTAGTGTGCTGTCTGATGTCTGGAACCCCAGTCCCCACCCTGAAACTCAGAGCATGATTGTCTGCCTCCTTTTCATGATGATTTTGCTGGCCAAGGAAGTTCAACTTGTAGACAAAGCAGTAAGTTTGGGGAGCTTGGGATTAGAATGGCTTCTTAGCTTCTCACTTCCGACAAGGTGTGGTTTTTCACTTGTTTCCCCAACGCCTTTACAATTGTGAGTAGACGATACTTGGCATATGAGATGTGCCTTCAACTAGGTGCTGCTCTTCCTGGATAGTCCATTGTTTAGTTCTAAATGACAAAGAGAACCCCCTGTCCTGAGTTAGAATGCATTAGTCAATTTTATTTGACTTCTCATTAATTCCTAGTTTAATTTCTTATGTGCTTCCTGAGTCAGTGTTGCCACTGGAGCAGAATGCCTTTGAAAATTGGGTTCTGAATTCTTTTAGATTATAATGTTAATGTGTTTTTGCTATATAGGTTTGGTTATAGATTTCACTAGTGCTAATTTGAGTAGTTACTTATGTGGCATCTCAAGTCTTCTGTGGTTATCATCTTAGTGGTTTATCCACAGACTACTTAGAGACACATTCCAGGGAAACAGGGGCTCTGGAACTAAAACAATCTGTATTCTCTTTTTAGGATTCACCTTTACTTAGTCTTCTTGGACAGACAAGCTCACTCTCGTGGCACCTCGTGGACATTGTGTCGTACCAGAGTGTGCTAAGTTATTTTAGCAGTCATTACCCACCGTCAATCATCCTGGCAAAAGAATCTTCTGCAGAATTGATTGTGAAGCTCCTGAAAGTGTCTGCAGGACTTTCCATTCCTACTGATGGTCAAAAACATCTTGTAAGTAGAGAGGGCAGTTTAGGAGGCAGTAGTATTCTTTGAGCCCAGAAGTAGCATATATGCTACCAAGGACAGTCTGCTGGCTGCTTAGCAGAAAAAGTGGGGGATGGGGTTGGGAGTGACATTGTGTTCTCAGATTGACTTCTTAGATCCTTGATTTAACTTCTCTCTTTTGGTAAGCTTTTTACTTATTGTTGGTGTCACATGTTGACTAGCAGTCAGAAAAATTGAGGGCTGGCAATGGGCCAGTGGTTTTATAAACTGTGTGACATTGGCAGCAGACTGGAAGGGAGGGTGATGAACATGAGCTTGAGGTTCGGCAAACTCAGGACCTACTCAATGATGTTCTGACCATGGTCAGGCCCCTTACCTTTCCCTCTTGACTTGATAATCCCTTGGCTTAAGTTATCGTTGTGAGGAGGATTGAGTTAGATAACGAATATGAAAGTTTTTAGTAAAGTTCCAGGATAGTAATTAGTCTTTAGTTTATGTTGTTATTATTGTAGTTAAAAAGAAAAAGGAGTTTTCTGTGGAGTTTGGGAGACTATGGGTTCTAGTTCCAGTGTTATCACAGGTTGGCACTTTCCTAGACTCAGGGCCTCTGGGCCATATGGATGAGGACTTCATGTGGCTTCCTTATCTGTCCTTTCCTCATGTGTCAGTGCAGTGCTATGCTCCCAGAGATGCTCAGTTAACACTCCTTGCTTGGATTCATTTGGATGATCCTTTTTTTTGTCTATCAGGATGTAGTTCCAAAATGCCAAGCTTTCACTCATCAGATGGTTCAGTTCCTCAGCACTCTGGAACAAAATGGAAAAATCACCTTCGCGGTCCTAGAACAGGAAATGTCTAAGCTCTTAGATGATATCGTTGTCTTTAACCCACCCGGTAAGTGAGCAGTGGGAAGTCACGTATCCATACAACCAGTGAATTCCTTGTGTGTTATGTATTGTGAGATGAGGAAGGTGTATAAGACTGTGTCATTCCTGACTCAGAGAAATAGTGGTCAGAGAGCTGTTTGGACATCAGAACAGGCACTACTGCCCTGCAGGGAGGCAGTAATGTTAAGAACTTGAGGTAAAGTTGACTCTGGCGGTTGCTGGTGTGAGGTGACCTGGACTGAGAGTCAAGCAGGACAACTACATTTAATAATTAGGAGGTGACAAGAGACCTTTCAGTGACCTACATTCATAGGAAGTTGTCTTTTAAGTAGGAGAGCATTGCAAGACACTTGATATGGAGAACTTTGCTGCTACCAGTTTTAGTTGACTAGATATCCTGGCTGTCTCTCCTGCTGAAAACAGCCAAGAATTCTGGGTAAATTTTTTTTTAAGAAACCAAGTTAAATTAATTAGTGGAATGACAAAAAGGTAAGGAAATCTGAGGCCAGAAACAAAATAAAAGGGAACCCATAAAGATGGATGGATTACTGAGGCTGGGCCTCACCTAAACCTTCTTACCATACTAGGGGGAAGGTGATAAGCTCCAGGGACTGCTGAGATGGGAGCCTAAGGAGATCCCATGTGTAAGACACAGGGTGACATCTTTACTACACAGATGAGCTAGAGATAAACATGCTTCTGTGGGAGGAGAGCAGAGACAGCTATCTGATGGGCTTTGGTGTTGGGCCAAATGTAGATGTAGCAGGGAGAGACCTATTTAGAAAATTAGTAAGTTCAGCTGATCCTTACATGCTTTGAAGCAAGAATTCATACTATTAGGTGGTTCACAAAAGGAAGGAAAAAAAGAGGGGGGAAATTCAGCAGCAGTGCTGGAGGAATTGCTGGAGTTGGTCAGGTGTGATTGGGCCATGAGGTTGATTAATAGTTGACCTGAGAAAGGATGTTCTGGAAAGACTTTTATCAGAAGAGTAATAGGATCAGGTCTGGTTTTCAGAAAAAAATTCATTGGCCCTGTCGATGGTGATCAGGAAGTAGCAAGGCTGGGATCTACTGAGCTCATTGAAGTAATTTACACTGTGAGTCATAATTAAAAGGTAAATTATAATTGCTGTTCATTTGAAATTGAGATTAAGACCTTTATTACCAAGAATGTTTTTTAAGTCTTTGCTTGATAGTGAATAGGTCTTACAGTAACATTAAGTGAGGGTCTGTTTAACACTGTATAAGCAATAAGTTTGTTTTGATGGATATGATGAGTAAGATCTTCCAACTTCTTACCATTCCTGTAGATGTTCAGAGTCCTTGTAGTGAGAAAGCTTCAGTTCTATTCCATTAAAAGAAAAAAAGTGCCCAACTCAATGACAACTAGAAATAGTTGGCAAAAGAAAGGCCTGTTCATTGTTAGTAACACTTTTATTTGTCTGAATGTGAAGGAGTGTACCTCAGTGACCGCTTCCTCGTGGACAGTTCTCTTATAAAATGAATTTGCTCTTGTTGCTTATTCTACTCTCTTTTCACCTCCAGTTTTTTTTTTTTAAAAGACCGATTTATATGAAAGCTAGTCTGCTCACTTTTCTTAGGCATAATTTTTTTTGTGATACTGAGGTTTGAACTGAGGGCTTCAAACCACTTTTCTCATTTAAAAAACAAAGAGCTGCAGTGAGGAACCTTTAAAAAGGTTTTTCCTGGTCAGGCACAGTGGCTCATGCCTATAATCCTAGCTACTCAGGAGGCAGAGATCAGGAGGATTATGGTTCAAAGCCAGCTGGGGGAAATAGTTAGCAAGACCCTATCTTGAAAACTGCCAAGCGGCTCAAGTGGTAAGAATGCCTGCCTAACAAATGTGAGGCCCTGAGTTAAAAAAAAAAAAAAAGGTTTTCTTTACCTTTATATTTATTTTTAAGTTAATCACCGTAGAATATTGGCAGTGGTTGGGGAGAGAGTGGGTACTAGTGCAGATTAGTTTACCAAATGACTGAGCAAAGGTTGGAAAATAAAGACTAATTAGACATGTTCTGATAAATAAGATGCTCTTTCACACCTGCTCGATGTATGTCTTTTTATTAAAGTATTGCTCTGTCACACTGCCATACCCAGGGATCTCTTAGTAGTTCTTACTTTTGCTCTTACAACGTACTTACATGCCACATCCTGTCCATAAAAGCCAAACATCATCCAGAGCCTTTCTTTTGGTTCCTTGTGACCAGCCATTAGAACCGTGAAATCTGCCTAGAGAACGGCTGTCACTCACGCTTTCCTTCTTGTCCCCATGGCAACAGCCTGAATGTAGTCTGTGTTTCACCCTCAGACATGGACAGCCAGACCCGCCACATGGCCCTCAGCAGCCTCTTTATGGAAGTCCTGATGATGATGAACAATGCAGCTCTTCCAACAGCAGAGTTCCTCCGAGGTAGCATTCGGACTTGGATTGGCCAAAAAGTACATGGGCTGGTGGTACTGCCTCTTTTAACAGCAGCCTGCCAGAGCCTGGCTTCAGTTCGCCACATGGCAGAGACTACAGAAGCCTGCATCACTGCCTACTTCAAGGAAAGTAAGATGATGTCATCTTCTGCTTTCGTTACATTGTCTTTCCCAGGAAAGAGTACAGCTCTGTCATCAAAGGATGGATGTCTTTCCAGTCTCTTCCCAATGAGAGATTTAAACATTGTGATTTTTTTTTCTCTATAAATGTGGATAGTATAGGGAAATACATACACACATTATTTCCCCCCATAAATATTTGTAGTTAGCATGAGAGCATCTGGCCCATGTCTGTTGGTATAACTATTTACTTTATTATTTTATGTTGGTTTTAGAACATCAGAGCAACTCTGCTAAAATAGGCAAAGTCATAGTCCTCACAACAAATGCTATAAGCCAGAATCTATATAATAATGATCCTCTATGCTAATTTCCTCTCTTTGGATCACATTTGGTGAAAGGAGTCTTCAAAAAAATTAGTTCTTGTCATACTTTTTAAACTATTGTAAGAGAATTATACACCTTGGTTTCCCACCCTTCTTTTTATCTTTCTTATTCCTACCTCTAAACTGTCAGACTCTGGAGACAACCTGGTGTGTTTTTTTTTTTTTTTACTACTCAGAATGTCCCTTCTCTACTCTGATATTCAGGTACACATCATACTGCAGATGGGGAGACAACAGACATTGCAGTGAGTAAGTGCATATCTCTGTGCACCCATGCTGATCCCCCAAAGAGTTGAGAGCCATTAGGGTAACACTCTTGTTCTAAATTCGTGTTGCTAAAAATCAAAAGGTTTCCATTGAGATACGAGTTGAGCTTTGGTGAGTAAAAATACTTTTTGTGGATTGAGTGACAACAGTTTTTCTTGGAAAAATATGTGTCCATATATACTTAAAAATGGTATTAAATCTGGATGCTAATAGCTAACGCCCACAAGCCTAGCTTCTTGGGAGGCAGAGAGCAGGAGGACCATGGTCAAGGGCAGCCCAGACAAATAGTTTGTGAGACCGTATCTTGAAGATATCCAACACAAAAAAGCGGTGGTGGAATGTCTTAAGTGGTAGAGTACCTGCCTAGCAAGTGTGAGGCCCTGAGTTCAAAACCCCAGTACCACCAAAAAAATGGAATTAAAGTTAAAACTCTAGGGCTGGTAGAGTGGCTCAAGTGGTAAGATTGCCTGCCTAGCAAGCTTGAAGTCCTGAGTTCAAGCCCCAGTCCCACCAAAAAAAAAAAAAAAAAAAAAAGTTAAAGCTGTATAAAGAGTTAGTGGTCATAATATAATGAGAAAGTACATAGTTCTGCATTCTCATTTCTTGATCTTGTTGAGTCACATCCAGCACGTGTGCTTTCTGGTCTAAGTCCAGGTGACCTTTCACTTTTGTGGTCTGTAGGGCCAATGTGAGAAATGTTATCTTAGCATAAAACTAATGTGAAAACATTCATTAAGAGTTGTATGGACTCTCATATCTCAATGTCTTCTCTTGGTGTTTTTTGCTTAGGCACCCGCAATCAAAATTTAGGATGGGGCCCCATTCTGGTGTCCCTTCAAGTTCCTGAGCTCACCATAGAAGAATTTCTGCAGGAGTGCCTAGCTCTTGGCAGTTATTTGACTCTTTATGTCTACCTGCTTCAGTGTTTAAATAGTGAACAGACCCTAAGGAATGAAATGAAAGTGCTGCTCACCCTGAGCAAGTGGTTAGAACAGGTGTACCCCAGGTATGTTGGCCCTCTGGTTGCTTTGTCAAACTTGTATTTGGTTTACTTGGAATTTAGGGTTAGATTAGTATATATTTAAGTAGACAGAACCAAGTGGCACATATGGATCGAACAAGGATATGAGGCCGGTGACACTTGTTTTGGAAAGATTCTTACTTTGATGGGCTGATTTTCTGAGCAAAACTTTTGTTTCCTGAAACAAGCATTTGGAAGCAGCTAGCTTGCTGGCATGGCAGTATATTGCCTGTAATTCCGATATGTGAGAGGCAGGAGGATCACAAGTTTCAGGCCAGCACTGGCTACATAGTAAGTGCCAGGCCAGCCTAGGCAACATAGAGAGACCCTGTCTCAAAACAAAAAAAATCCAGAGCGTATGAAGGACTTCATTCAGCTCTCTTAGGAGTGAAGTAGTGAGGCTAATCCCTCTCTCCTAGGGTTGTGAGGAGTAAGTGGAAGAACATAAAGCTTGGGCATGTGTCTGTCATGTATAAGTGTCATGTATAAGGAGCTATTGCAATCTTGTTACTTTTAATATTAATATTTATTAGCACCTATTAGCCTTGTCTTTTAAAGTACTAAGTGTCTCCTTTACTTAAAATTCAAGTGTGATTTTCAATGAAATGGGAGCGAAAGAAATAATTTCATTTCCTCTGGTGCCTCCTCAGTTCCGCACAGGAAGAGGCAAAGCTGTTTTTGTGGTGGCACCAAGTCCTGCAGCTCTCCCTGATTCAGACAGAGCAGAATGACTCAGTCCTGACAGAGTCTGTTATTCGGATTCTGCTCATGCTTCAGAGCAGGCAGAACCTTGTGGCCGAGGAAAGGCTCAGCTCCGGGATTCTGGGGGCAATTGGTTTGGGCCGGAAGTCACCCTTGTCCAACAGGTAAGGCAGTACCTATGCTACTTACTCTTCTCAGTAGGCCTCAAGCAGCTGAACCTGTAACAGATGCGACACTGGAATAGGGCTTTTGACATAGGCAGTAGGTCTTCTAGAAAACTGAAGGGAAAAAAAATCAGAGCCTGATTACATCTTTATATTCTAGAAAGCATATTTATCTTTTCTTGTTTTAAGACAACTTCATTATTAAGTTCAAACAGTTCTTTTCACTAGTATATCTTATATTTGTAACCACTCACTCCAGATATTGTTAACCTTTCTGTGTTTGTGCTGTAGTTTGGCAGGACTTCATTACTTTTATCTCACTTAAATCTGCCTTGCATATTTTGTGCTTGAATTGAGGGTTTTTCTTCTTTTTTAAAAAATTGAATCAATATACAAGAGAGATACCTGCATACCTGTGTTTATTGCTGCTCTCTTCACAATAGCAAAACTGTGGGATTTTTATTTATCAATCAATAAATGGATAAATAAAATATTGTTTATATATATGTACACATATATACATACCATGGACTATTATTCAGTCATAAAAAATGAAATTACATTATTGGGAGGAAAATGGATAGAACTGGAGATCATCATACTGAGCTAGATCAGCCAAGCTTAAAAGGCCCAGTATTGTATGTTCTCACTTATTTGTGGAACCTGGACCTAAAACAATGATGATAGTAGTAATAATAATAATAGTATGTAAATGTATATGCGGGACTGTCTGGTATGGGGTTAGTCAGTGAGAGGGAGGAGGGGAAGGAAATGATACTGAGAGTAAAGAGGGTGGAAGTACATTACATGTATACATACGAAGACAGTGTAACACTGAGGGGTAGAGGAGAGGGGAGTGGGAGTATAATGGAGGCACTGAGTGAACTTGTTCAAGGTACACTGTACACGTGTATTGAATTATCACAATGAAATCTTCTCATTATTAATGTATAATAAACCAAAATTTAAAAATACCATAATTTACATTTTACCATGGTACATTTAAATATGTATGATTCAGTGACTTTTAGCATATTCACAATACTGTTGTGTTCATCACTATTTAGTTCCAGAACATTGTCATCACCCCAAAAGGGGTCATATTTGAACAGTTACCTCCATTATCTTCTCTCCCTAGTCTCTGGCAATCAGAGACTTTATGTGACTCTATAAATTAAGTCAACTTTGAATGTTTCATAAAAACAGTGGTTTCTTCCACTTAGCATAAAGTCTGTTGGGTGGGTCTATATTTTGTTTATCTGTTCCCGAGCTAGTGGACATTTGGATTGTGGTTCAGCCTTTTTTTCTCTTGTGAGTAACACTGCTGTGAACATTCATGTACAATTTTTGTTAGCACATCTGTTTTTGGTTCTTTTGGATATACTTAGGAGTGGAGTTGTGGGTCATGTGGTAAACTGTTACTTACTACAGAAGTGTCAACTGTTTTCCATGCCTGCACCATTTGCATTCTCCCCAGCAATGTGTGAGGGCTCCAGTTATTCCACATCTTTGCCAATGCTTTCCAGGTTGAATCTGAATTATACCCACATTGTTTGGATGGTAATAATGGGGAAAAAGAGGAATGCTGCTTTTTGATCATATTTAAGATCTTCCTGAAGAGACTTAACTACACAGTTGATCTGGAAATGGATTTATGTTGCTTTTAAATTTGAAATAGGGTGTTTATTTTAAAACGCTTACTTTAAAAGTCAGTCACTTCTGACCTCTCCCTAACACCCAAGGTTCCGAGTGGTTGCTCGAGGTATGGCTGCCTTCCTTTCAGTTCACGTTCCTACAGAAGACCAGATTCGTTTGAAGCCTAGCTCTGAATTACATCTGACTCCGAAAGCTCAGCAGGTCAGTAAAAACAACCTTACAGTTAAGGGCTGGAAGGTTTCCAGCACAGCTTCCCCAGAAGGGGGAGGTGGTGCCCCTAGCCTGCCATACCATGACGTGTGCTCGGCAGCAGCACAGTGTTCTCTTTGGTGTACTCTGCCTACTGGAAAGTGGTTGCATGTGCCTACCTCAGGTTTTGAACCAGGTTTTGTAAGCACTGGCCTAGAGCACTGTCACTGTCATTGTAGAAGAGGCAAGGCCTGGGCCAAGCTGGCCAAGGGTTGAATTTGATCCTGATGAGTGGGACTGTGCACTGACCTGGCACATACCAGTGCTCAGGCAGGCATAGGAGATGTAGCTTCAGTTGAGATGAGTGGTGGCTGGCTGAGCTTTACGTTGGAACCAAAGCAGTGGTTCCTGTTCTGTGAGGCTGAAGGTTGACCTCCTGATGCCAGAGTAACTTAACACTGACAAAATGGTTATAGTGTGTTTAAAAAAAAAAAAAGGATGACTACATGGCAATGGTCCCATTCTTTTTTTTTTTTTTTGAGATAGGCCATGTAGACCAGGCTGGCCTAGAACTCACTGTGTAGCCCAGGCTGGTCTCGAACTTGCAATCTTCCTGCCTCTGCCTTCCAAGGACTGGGATCACAGGCATGTACCACCATGTCTGGCAATGGTCCCATTCTTGTAACTTAGTTTGTACTCCACCAACTGATCAGCCAGGTACAGAGGTACACAGTATGAAAAGATGGCCAGCATTCTTGAGTGTTCACCACATGCCAGGCATTGCTCAAAGTTGCATTCAGTATTCATGAGTTAAAGTTTCAACTCACTTAATCCTCATAACAACCATGCAATGTGGGAATAAGTATTATGTTGGTTTTGCTGATGAGGAGACAGAGAAGCTGAGTAATTTGTCCATGTGTGAGGGCTAGGATTCATGCTGGCCAGTCTACCTCCACGTTGCTCCCACTTTCCATTCTGCAGCATGTCTCTGTACCTGGTAAGTGCTTAGACCTTTAGCTACTCTTCCTGGGCAGCTTGGTAATGTCTCTGCCAGCCACTCTTGATTATTAAGAGTGAAGATCAGGCTGGGTATTATGGCTCACACCTGTAATCCCAGCTACTCGGGAGGTGGAGATAGGAGAATCGAGATTTGAGGCAAATCAGACAAAGAAACAAACAACAACAACAACAAAAACCAAGCTGGGCATAGTAGTTACAAGCCCGTGGTCCCAGCTGCTTAGGAGGCAGAGGTGGGAGGATCAAGGTCAAGGTCTGAGGTTGGCCCTGCAAAAGCATAAGACATTATCTGAAAAACAAACTAAAGCAAAAAGGGCTGGAGGTACAGGTCAAGTGATAGAGTACTTGCTGGTCCTGAATTCAAACTCCAGTATTGCCCCTCCAAACAAAGAGTGAGGATCAGACAGTACAACTGGCAGGTTCTTCACGGGGATCTACTTTATAAAATACCTGGTACTTGTTGCTTATAGACTACACAGCTGCTGTTGGAGTTCCAAGGTCTTACACAAAGCCTCACATATGGGTAGCTGAGTCTGCTGGGGTCCGGGTGGGAAGTCAGTGAAATGCATTTCAAGGTGCATTTGCGGAGTCTTTAGCTCCTCTGTGGCACAGGTCCTGGAGCATCAGAACCCTACTTTAGCTGTGGCCATGGTCTCCTGGTCCCTGTTTGCCTGCTTTCCATTGGAATTAAAGTGGTGACTTCCTGCATGTCCCTTGCATACTTGCCATCAGGATTTTCGACTTGGAAAAAGTCCATTTTTCTATAAAAATATATAGTCTTAGATCAGCTGTCACAATGGGCCATTTTGGGGGCTAAATTTAAAAAAAAAGGGGAGGGAAGAAGGGAGGGAAGGGGAGGGGAAGGTAGAGAGAGAGAGAGAGAGAGAGACAGACAGAGAGGATAAGAAAAGAAAAGAAAAAGAAAGAGACATGGGAGAGAGGCACTGTGATCCATGGATGTGCCTATTCCCATTGGTTCCTAGCCATAGACTGAACCAGTACAAAATTCCTAGTGGTTTATTTTCAAACCTAAGACTTCAGTCTACAACCTGCTGGTAGTTTATTTCTAAGCTTATATATTATTCTCAAAACAAAACAAAAAAAACTCCTTTGTTTTCTGATCCAAGTACATCCCAGCTTTTAATACATCTTCTCTAACGTCAGGGATTGCCATACTTGGAAGGGCATGCTCCACTGGGGAAGAGAATGCCTTCAGGACCCTGGGGGCAGGTGAGCTTGTGTAGTTGGCAGGCCCCTGCCTGCAGAGACCACCATTCTGATTTTTTGTTTTCTTCATGTACAGTATCTTCCCTTTTCTTCTACAATGAAGGAAGGAAAAATTAAAATTATGAAGTCAAAGAATATTTTTCTTTATTCCTCCCTTTGAAGAGAGGCATGGGAACATTTTCTTCCATTTGTCATGTGGATTTGGGAGGAACTTGTTGACTGATTTAGTGACCTTATCATTTACTCTCAGCCACACTTTGCAGCTGGTTTCTTTAGGATTTCACTCAGATCATTTTCTATGGCAGGAGCTTGTGGCTCAAGAAGAAACCCAGCAGCAAGTGACACAAGTCCCACCACAGTGAGGTGCACTTGATGCCTGTAGTTTCCTGTTGGGCTCTGAGAAGAGAGGGAGCAGGTGATCTGGTGGAGAGGACCCCACAGTGGGACTGGGGAGAACAGGGACAAGGCATGCTTGCAGGAAGAGCAGCTTGGCTGCTGCAGTGGCTTTCAGCAAGGGAAGGTTGGGAAATAACATGGCACAAAAAGAGAGAAGGCTACAAAAGGCAGAGAAGACTTGCAGTTGCAGCCTCCTTCTGGTTGCTAATTAAGACTTGCTTTCTGGATTCCTAATTCCTGTTCTATAGGCTTCCCTCTCTCAAGGCTCACAGCAGAGCCAGATAATGACGGTAGGTGTGCTATGCCTATGGAGATCAGGTGATGTGCATTTATGGGGTTAACTTCTTGTCCTTCGTGTCTTTTAGGCTCTGGCTGCTCTTGACTCCATGACGCTGAGTAAGCAGTACGTGGAATACCAGGATCAGATATGGCAAGCTGTCCAGTTTATAAAGCATCCTGGCCATTGCCTCCAAGATGGGAAAAGCTTCCTGGCTCTTCTCATTAACTGTCTGTACCCAGAAGTGCATTACTTGGACAATATACGATAGTAATTCTGAGCTCTTGAAAAACTCCGTTGCTCTTTATGTTTACATTTAACTTTGATGTTGCACAAGTAACGCTCAGTTTCACTGCAGAGCCAAGAACTTCGTGACTGCGACACAAATTGGGAGACAGTAGATAATTTTGATGTGTTTGTGTTATTGTCCAGAGACTTTTTAGTTTTTATGTGCATCCACAAGTGAAACTTACCAAGTTCCGCTTGAGTATGGAGGCACTCTGGTTGATGAGTGTCCCAGTCATCTCACAAAAGCTCCAGATGGAGTTTTTGGTAAGTCTCCAGTTCTGCCTCACGTTTTATTTCAATATCAAGACTCTTGTGCCAGATGTGACTGCTTTGGGCCCAGTGTGTTCTTCCAGTGCAAAAAAAGTCAACTTGGAGAATTTCTGCTTTTCTCAAATTTGGAGAAACATACCAGCTTAGGAATACTATTGGTATTTCTTTTCGAGGAGAGGTGAGAAATGTTGAATTAAGCTGGGCATGGTGGCACACACACCTGTAATCCCAGGGCATAGTGTGAGACCCTATCTCAGAGCACTCTTGATGATACCAGATTTGCTTTCTGACAGCCACACTGTGGGGTGGGAGACTGGAGAAGTTTGTTCTCCATTCCCTGCTTATTTCTTCCTGCCATATTGAAACTCAGATGAAGCTAACAGACCTGCTTAAGTACTTGGCCATGGAAACTGGCCAGGTCAGGAGAATTTCTGAAATTTGGCTTTTTTTGAGTCATCCTGTGCCTTGTCATTTAATAGTGCATCATTACCAAAGCTCATCTGTAACACTGCCTTGTCTGTTGGCATCTTCTAGCTCATGTTATTTCCCCCAGGTGTGAGCAGTTTGACTTCTGTCAGCATACTCACAATTTTCACAGTGGCTTGTCCAGGTTATATGATGTGTCTTTGTTTATGGGTTGTCTGTAGCCCAAGAATATTTACTTAAAAATGTGTAAAGAGCCACCAAGAGCTTTCAGTAGAAGTAGGGACATAGTTAAAAGAGTGCTAATCTCTTCCCAAATACCCCACATTTGGACGTTTGTAGGAGGTTCTTTATTGGACAGAACAATTCTGCCTCACAGACATGCCTTGGAGCTCTGATGAAGAACATCTCTGTGTGAGTTGTGTAGGCTACAAGGTAGCTACATCTCACAGGGACACAGCTCAGCTTTCCTTGGGTTTGCTTCTCTCCATTTTCAAAATCATCATCATTCATCTTCTCTTTGTATGTATAAGAAAATGTTAGAAGCTGTCGACAGTTCTCTTGGCTGATTTGGCAATAATGATTTTAGGACAGGACATATTTTGTGTGGTGTTTTCTTTGAGGAGGATGAAATTATTGATATCCTAGAATGTGAAAATTTTGAGTGATAATATGTACATTTTAAAGAAAATTATGATTAACCTGTTAATATTAAAAGTTTATAATATTTATAATTATTTACTCTGTAAAAATTATGAAAAATAAAATCGGTCTTTGGTTGTAACTGGTAGGAATCAGAATTACAGGGATCTCACACTAGCTTGTAAAATATTTCACTTGTTAAGGTTGATGTAGATTTTTATACCTGATGTTATCTATCTTATTTGACACTATAACTTGGTTTCAGCCATGGTCTGTTCAAGTACTTTCTCTTTCACTTCATGCTTAACATGGGAGGGTTCCTTATCTCATAGGTTGCTGTGAAAAAGCTCTAAACTAGACAAAGACACCGAGATAGTTCAGACCATGGCAAAGAAAAGACAGAGGCTACACACAGGCCGACCTGCTCATTGCTTAAAGGGTAACGAGCCTTTACTTGGAAAGTTGTTCTCCAGAGTGCTCAGGGCCGTGGAGTCCCTGTTGGCATCAAGCAAGACCCAAGCCTGATTGTGGGCTGAGCAGCGTGGAAGGTAGACCATGGATGCTCCCGACTTTGCGCACAGCTGCATGGGCTCCGCGGCATTCTGGTCACAGTGGAAAGCTCCTCTTTGCCTCTCCCACCCTGCAGAGACATATGGGGCTCTCCTTGTTCCATCACCTGACTAGAACAAATGGAGGCAGAAAGCTGGAAGGCACTGCTGTTCAGTAGGACTGTCCTGCCAGCTGTATCTGCACAGTGTGACAGTGGCAGGGGAGCTGGGGCCCACGGCACGTTTCTAAAGCTCTTGCACACTTGACCTCAGTTTTAAGGCACAGCTGGTTTTGTGCTTTCACAGTCAATGTGTTGGCTCAGTCACTGAATGCCTCCACCTCCCTGGGTTGTGCCCAAGCTTCTTGGTTTCTTTGAGATTGGAGGAGATGTGCAGAAAACTCAAACTCTAACCAGCCTGACCTCCCCCAACCAAGCGACAGGCACCTTGTCCCCATTAGTCTCCAAAACCAGTATGTCTGTGTTGTACAAGTTAAGCGTGTCCATGTCCTTTTTCTGTTTGAAGGAAGATGATATAATTTTTCTTTGGATTTTTTTCTGAAAATTAACTGTTCTGGAGCAGGAAGCAAATACCTAGTGTCACAGATCTGGAACATTAGAGTGGGCCTAAACACATCTAGGCTCTCCTCTCAACAGTGAAGAGCGTCCTGGAGTCCAGCCCCCGCTAGGCTGCCCAGGCTGGCCAAGATGCCTGGTGATGTCTGTTGGTTGTGGATCTGCCAGGCTGGGGCTGTCCCTTTGCTCCTTTCTTGCTTCTCTTGTAACCCTCTCCCTCACTTAGTCCTCTCCAGGCTAAATGTCCCAGAGTCCTTTGTTACTCCTCTTCTACCATGATGTCCAACAGGGTTGCCCTGGGGGAGAAGTGCCCACATCAGCCCATATTGCTGTGCCCAAGCAGTCACAGTGCTAGGGTGAGGAAATGAAGTACACGGATACTTGCCTTTTATGCCATTGGTGCCTTGCCTGCCTCATCCTAACCGCTGCCCAGTCACTTGAGTCACGCTAGTTATGGGCATGGTGATGCATGGCTGTAATCCCAGCCCTCACGAGGCTGAGGCAGGAGGATCAAGAATTCCAGGCCAGCTTGGACTACATGGTGAGATCTTGCCTCAACAAAACCAAATGAGCCACACTAGTGTGGTCTGAGCAGTACAGTTCACTCCTCTGTGCCCTCGGGAAGCATCAGCTATTGCTGTCCCCTGTGGCTGGCACATTAAACGAGAGGCAAGTTCAGACTCCAGACCTGTTTAATACCAGTCACTGCCAAAGACTGGTCTCTTCACACACCTGCATGGTAAGTCTAACAAGGTGCTCTGCTCTTAATCCTGTACAACTGTCAGCTGTTCACTTTGAGCCAACTTGACAGTTCATTTTGGGTTGTTGCTGATCTTAGTTTTGCTCAGTTAACTGTGTCTTATTGAGCAAAATAGAGAATATAATACTGGGAGATAAACTTGTTGCTTTAAAAGGCAAAGCGACCCCCTTCTGTGATCTTCTGTATGTGCTACGGTCATGCTGGGTAGAGCTCTTGACCTGATAGCTAGGCACTAATACTGTCTGTTCTGCTCCACCAGGATGCTCCTTTTCTAGAGTATGCCTTGGCATTGCGTGACCTGGAGAGCAGTTCTGTTTGTATAGTTTCCTTCAGGATTAAGCGCAGAACTCGGGAGAGGCCCCCGATTTCTGATGAGAGTAACTTGAAAAAAATTAAACTACCAATCCTGTTTTAGGATAATGAAATTGCTAAGGAATGTTGATTATTGTACTTTTCTTAGTGTATCGATGTAATATCTCTCGAGCACTGAGTTTATTTTTCTTTCAGTGGTTGAAAATTTTTTATATTGGAGATTGAGCTTTGTTCCTTCCAACATGTCTAGTGTGACCTTTAAAAAATACAATTTTATTTAGAGTCATGTGCAATATTCATTTTTTATTCATTGTTCAACATTTTCCATGCTGTGTAAAGGATGAGTTTTATGTAGTGGCGACAAACAGGAAGAAATGCGAATCAGTTAAGTAAAATTCTGCAAATAAACCACTTTCAAATTAATTTACCCTTGGTGGGCCTGTCTCATTGTTATCAGCAAGTCAGGTGACAGGTCTTTACATATATAAATCACATTGAGAAAAAATTTAAATTAGGAAATTTGTAATGGATAAAAATCTTTATTCTGTGATGTAGCACCATAATGACAAGACCTCTAATTTTAAAGAGAATATGTAACTTGGTGGTGGGCAGGAGGCCATCAGAGACATCAGGAGAGCTCTTTGTGGTCTGTAATGTGGCCTTGCCTTCACAGCTGCACTGTGGCCCCCAAGGCCTGAGTTGGGATGGGGTGAGAGTGGGTGGGAGGCCCAGTAGAAGCCAGGGTCTGCTCCGAAAATCCACCTTCAATATTGGCATGCCAGCGAGTTCCTCCTAGTGTTAATTTTCATGAACACTGGTAAGACACACCTGAACGGCCCAAGGTGTGGTGGGAGGGTCTGCACATTCCATTTGGGATTACCATCAATTTGAAATTCACCAGTGATGGGCCTACTTAGTGTAGGGTGTATCTTCCTCACCCTTGTCTGGGCTTGGCTTCTTTTTCTGATAGAATCAAAGGACTTAAGGGTCAGAAAGTGCTCAGGAGCAGAGTCACGTTCCAGGAAGTACCAGTCCCATGGCCTGCACCACATCGGGAAGTCCAGTTTTAAAAACAACAATTTGGGTCATTTCTCTCCTTGGCTCCTCAGGCCCCAGGAGGAGAGCTGAGCATCCTGCCTCTGGCCCTTGTTTGCCAGCAAAGAGCCTGAAGTACTCAAGAGTGTCAGATGGGGGAGGACAGGTGGCCTGACTCCATCCAGATTTCTCACAGAGACAACTCAGAGGGGATGGTCACATGCTGTCCCCTCACCTCTCCTCTCTGCTCCTCAGAGTAGCTGTTTTATCAAGCAGCCAAGTAGGAGGCTGCCTGTGTACTGTGTGCACATTGTTAAAGGAGGTGCCACCTGTCCCTCAGCGTGCTCCCTAGGGCCCATCACTGTGTCTGAAACCACTTCTTTTGTTCCCAAGAAGCTCTAGTTGCATACTGCTAATGCTGCAGTGAGGACTGTTGTTAGCCAGTGCTCCTGGACTTCTGCACAATGATGTGATGGATGTCAGGCACACCAGAGAGCAGGTCTCAAACTTCAGCCTGCCTAAGAATCTACTGGAGTCACCTGTGTCCTGGTTAGAAACAAGCTAAAGATGACACTTTATGGACAGCTGGGAAATTTGAATATGGACTGTAAGGTGGTACTACTAAATTGTAAATTTTCTCAAGTATGGTAATGGTGTGGGGGATGACGGAGAACACTCTTGTTCTTTGGAGGTGTGTGGAGGGAGAACTGTGGTGTCCGCAGCTTACAAGTGTTTACGGTCAAGTACACATGCAGAAAGAAAAATATGAGCAACTGTTGGATGGAGGTGGTGGTACATGGGAAATCAGCTTTTTTTGGTGTGTGTTTGGCTCTGCTCCAAGAGCCCAGAGACTCCTGGGTCCTGTGAAGGCAGTGGTCAGATGGGTGAAAGCAGTCATGCTAAGAAGTAGAGGGAGCCCAGCACCACTTGTTCCCTTGGACAACAACGCCCTTTGTTACTCTTGTCCTTGTTGGGTGCAGCACCCTCCACCCAGCACAGGGTGCCCACTGCTGTAGCTCTGGCCATGCCCTGCTTCTACTATCCTGCCCTGGGAACTTCCAACTGCTTTAACACCATGCTGTGTCATGGTCTTTACTTGGACTGCCCTATCCTTTTACTTCAAATACCCTTCTTACCTCCCAACCTCCATTTTCTCCTATGGCCTCCCTCATTTGTATCACCAACATGTACCATCTCCACATACCCAATTCCAGGAAGCCTTCCCAAGATGGGGTTAGTTACCCCTTATATGCTTCCACAGCACCCCAAGCTACTTCTATCCTTACATTATTTTCCACTTTGTTGCTCACTGCCTTGAGAGCTTATGGAGTCACTACTGCTGTTCTCAAATGTCCTTGGCATTCATCTTCCAAGTACCATGCAGGGTTGCACTGCCTTGTCTCTCAGGTGAGTTGGGGGATATGGCTAGGTCTGGCTGATGAACTCTGATCAACAGTGTGTGGGTAGGGGAGGTGGGGTTGGAGGGGGGGAGGTCCTGAGGATTCTTTTTGCCTCCAACCCAGCAAGCTACAATATCAGAGATGGTGGATTCCTGGGACGTGGACTGCTGAGTAACAATGAACAAAGTCTCCCTGTTGCTTGTGATGGGAATGTAGCTTCAGTGAGAAATAAGCCCTATTTTCAGCCACTATGATTTAGGGATTTATTTGTTATTGTAGCACAACTTAGCCCACCTTGCCTGATACATATGCCTTCTTCAGTTTTCTATCCCTATACACCTTGCCCTATTCCTAGCACAATGTAGAGACACAGCAATAATTCTTGTCACAAGTTTTTGTCTTGGCTGTGAAAGTGACTTCAAAGACCAAACTCTATGTCCTAATGCATACTATTCCTGTGTCCCTAACTTCTTCCCTGATGATACAGGACTCTATGGACGTGACTAAAAACATTCCTGTGCAAAGAGGTGCACATGCCAACTCCTATGACCTCATAACATATCAGACAAGCTCCTGGGTGGATCCCAAGACAACTATGAGCTGCCATCACCTACCTGCCCTGCTGATGGAGAAGAATCTGGAAACCCATTGACTTCAACCTTCAGAGCAACTCCCTGGGAAAACATCATGCTCTTCTTAGTCCTCTACCCTGTGGCCCTTTCCTCTTGTCAGTTCATCTGGTCCCAAAGAAACCTCTCCCATTCTCTAATAGGACCAACAAATTGGCTGGACTCAGGGTAAAATTGCCAGGTAACTTTGCACATCCTGGGAGGATGCAGGCTATACAGAGAGGTCAAAGCTGTAGTTGCTTTATTCACCAGGGCCCAGAGCTCCTCAGGTCTCCCAATTGTCAGTCCCTGAGACATGGCCTCCAGATGCTCTGGGATAATGGGTCTTCACTTTCCTTTTCCTGGTGGTCCCAGCTCAAGGTAGTGTGGGCAGCAGGTGTGGGGCAGTCACAGTGGATATCTCAGGAAGCAGGGGCTCCAGCCCTCTCCTTGCTACTTAGTTCCCAGGACCTGATGTTCCTTGACCACAGCTTGCACAGCCCTGACTTCGGGTTTGTTCTCTGGAACACTTGTCCACAAGGCTGGTGCAGGTGCCATAACCAAGAACTCTGTACAACCAAAGGCCCACATCTGAGACAGCCTTGTATTTTCCGAAGCCCCTCACATTTACTATTTCCTCAGATCTAAACAGACCTACCAGCCAGAGGGAAGTAGTACTACTGTCAACAGTGGATGAGCTGCGACTTAGGTAAAGAAAGTGTCTTCAACACTGCAAGCTGACAACAGAGAAGGACAGAGCCTGGACTTCTACACCCTATGAACAATTTCCTGTCTGCTTTACTATGGGGTTCTAGGAAAGAAAGGAGTTTTTCTGGAAGTTTCATGCTGAGGCTCACATGTGTACACACTTTCAGAATGTTGACCACACTGGCATAAGTATCACAGGGCTCTGAAACAGGTGTCCAAGTAGGAGCCCAGATGAGCCTTTAAGTAGGGTCCTTCTCTTTGAGGGTTACCCAGTTGGGGGCTTCCATGGTGTATCTGGGAACCAGCAAGGGCTCTACCAGCCAAGCCTGGCACTGGCCTTCACTTTTTACTGTGCCCAGGTGGATGCTAGTGGCTGAGGGGCTCCTCACGGGGAACATGTGGCAGCTGGTGGGCCTCGGGAGTGCATCTGGCTCAAATTTTCATAACTGGATTCTTGAGCCTGGGGCCTGTGGATGGGAGAAAGTTGAATGACCATTTAATAAAGGGGGATGCTCCTTGACTTCCCAACTGTACGCAGCAGCAGGCCAGGAGGGGACACAAAATGGGGGGGGGGAGTGGGAATAGAACCAACATGGATTGGAGACTAATGAAGGCAGGGCAGGAATAGGGAGGGGGCTGTGAAGGTGACAGCATCCCAGATCACTGAGTCTGTGTCTGCACTGTTCAAGGCATGATCCCCACATCCTGCTCCACTCCTTTCTCCGCTCATTTTGGTAAGTAGCTCCAAGCTTAAACTCCACCCCTAGGCATGCGGTTCCCTTCTTCATCATGCATTATTCACCTGGCCCTCAGGCAGACCCACCTGCTAATGACACCTCTCTGAGCAGCCACAGAGCCCCTTCCTGCCCAGGAATGTCTAAAACCATTCTGACTTGCCATCACACTCAGAATAACCCACAGTCTCACCTGCCTACCTCACACTGCATGCTCCGGCCATGCCTGCTTCCCTCCTGGGGTCCCACCTGCAACTTTCTGCCAGTCTTTTCTTTCTGGCCTGCCCACCATCACTCTACCCACCCCAGGCACCAGCCTTCAGCTTCAGGTCCCCTCAGTGCCATGCCTCGGAGAGAACATCCTGATCTAAAGTAGCCATATCCAGTGGCCCCTGTCCCCAGGGGCTCTGCTTCATTGCTATGTCCATTTCCTTCACAGTTCCTATTTTACAATCTGGGATGATCTTGTTAGGGGTTTATTAAAATTTTCCATATTAAAATGTGAGTCCAGGGATTTTTCTGTCTCTTTAGCATCCAAATTAGTGCCTGCCACATAGTAGGTATTGAGTAAATAAGTAAGTCAGAAAGTCAACAGTTGTCTTTCTGATGCAGGGGACTTGGTTTTGAAACACATTGGCAAAGAAAAGGGACATGGAACATGTGATTGAGACTTAGGAGATGCTGAAGTGTCCAGGGCTTACGATTGGGTTCTTTCTCCTTCAACATAGGCCTTCACTTGGTAGACATCACAGAGGAGGAGAACATGGACCCTGGGTCAGTGATTTCCTAGCTGACAGCCTACAGTCTCTACACCAGGCCCTTGGAACTCTAATGAGATTTTGTTTGGGAAGAAATCAGCAGAGTGTGTGGGAGAATGTATTCCCACCTTGGCTTCTGTGTGGGATTGCCTGTTCTAGAATGCTGTGGACTACAAGATGAAGCAGCCAGGAGGTGTTCCTTTTCAGGACCATGGATACCAAGCCAGGTGTGTGCTGTATGTGTGATGGGAGCAGATGGCATGGTCTGTCCAGAGAAAGGTGTGCAAACTGAGAAGGGGAGCTCTGAGGGCCCAGGAACCTGGTCAATACTAGTCCCCCAGCCTGGCCCTCTGCCTGCTCTTTTTCCTCATGATGCCAATTCTGAGAAGCCCTTGCCCCTTGGCCAATGGGACCAGACCGGGGGTGGGGCGGGCAGTGAGTGTACTTACCGAGGTGGGGTCTCCTGGGTAATCTGGTGCTCTGTGAGGAAGAGAGAGAGAAAGTATGTGTATGTGTTAATCTGCTGACAGCCTTCAGTTTACATGTCTGCTGCCCACCCTGTCTCACCACACCATGCAAAGTGGTTCCCAGGAAATGTGCAATGGGCAGAAGACAAGCAGAAGTTGCCCAAGTCACACAAACCTGGACTTGAATATGACCAGGAATGAATGGGAGGAAGGGTGGGTGGGGGAAGTTCCAACAGAAAAAACTTCCCAAGGTCCCTGAAGCACAAAATGGCTGGTGAATTTGAAGAACCAGCAAGAAATGCCAGGGTGGCTGCAGCAAGGACAACAGTCAGGGCAACTGTGACAAGTTTTGGATTTCATCCCTGGAGAGCTTGAGGCTAGTGTTACTGACTTGAGAGGACTGAGAGGTTCTGGGAGGGCCCTCCCTCTCTGGGGGTACACAGCAAATGACCCATCAGCTCAGTAACAGCAGTGCATAGCAGCTCTTGACCCTTCAAGTTCGAGATGATGTAGTTTTGCACATGCTGTTCCCTCCACCAGGTGCCGCATTTGCACCTTCTCTGCCAAGCTCACGTGTACTTATATGCTTTGGCTTAGCTCTCACTGCGCCCTTGTGTAAGGCCTTCCCTCCTAGAAAACACATACTTCTCTCTGGCTTTCGCAACTGCTGAGTCTAGCAGAGCTCTTCCCACAGTGCACTGCAAAGATCTGCTGAATCAGCCTCCCCCTGGGCAGAAAACAGTGTTTTTTTTTCCTTTTTCAATGGTACTGTAGTTTGAACTCAGGGCCCCATTCTTGCTAGGAAAGTGTTCAACCATTTAAGCCATGGCCGAAGCCCTTTTTCCTTAAGTTTTTAGGTTTGCCTGGGTGGCTTCTGACCTCCTATCTTTGCCTCCTATGTATCTGTGACTACAGGTGTGCACCACCACACCTGGCCTGAACCATGTCTTAAGGCATTTCTGTATTCCCAACACCATACAGAACAAAGCAGGTCCTTAAGGTGGTTGTTGGGACATAAGGGAGTTGGTGCCATTTGAGAAAGCCTGTGGTCAGAGCCTTTGGGGAGCACTCATTTATGGGGTTGTGTTAAAGGGCCTTTTTGGAGCCCACGTGTCTGGATCTCCAGCTCTGTGACTTCAGGCAACAGGCAAGGCACTTGGCCTCCCGAGCCACAGCTTCCTCACTGCAAAATAAGCCTCTTGCGGGTTCTCACCTCTTGAACTCCATGTAGGGAGAAATGAGATGCGGCACAGGTGCAAAAAGGACATCCTGGCTGTGTCATGCCAGGTGATCAGCCAGATAGTCTTACTTGAGAGGAGAGCCCTGGCCCGCCCCTTGCACCCACTCAGGTCACAGGCACACCCACCTAGGCGTCGGCGGGCGGCGTGAGAGGCCAAAACTCCCAGCAGCAGCAGCACCTTGAGGCCCAACGCGCCCAGCAGCATCGCCATCGCCGAGACCCCCGTGGCGCCGCGGAAGCGGAACAAGTACACGCTGGCCTCGGCGCGGCCCAGGCTGTTGGCTGCCGTACACGTGTAGCGGCCGTCGTGGGTCAGCGCGGGCAGCTCGGCAGACACTTGATAGCCGTGACCCTGACCTGGCACGGCAGCGGAGTGGTTGCCCATGGTAGGGCCGGACCAGGCGAGGGCTGGCGGTGGCTCCCCTTCGGCAGTGCAGAGTGCGCGGAAGGTGTGCGCAGGGCCGGGCAGTACCGAGATGTTCACGATCCGCGGCGGCGCTGTGCGGGGAAGAAGGTGGTGGCTGGTCACCGCGTGGGAGGGCGAGGAAGCCGAGCGCAGTGTTGTGCCTGAGCAGCGGGCCAAGGCAGGGGATGTCCTTTGGACTCAAAAACCAGAGCGCTGAGGGAGGGGCTCAGAGAAGAGAAGAGAGGTGGGCAACTGGGCCTCAGGCTGCCTGGGTTACAAAATAGGTGTGGCCTTGGCCAAGCTATCCCAATGTGGGGTCGTTGAGAAGATTTGGCAAATCAGTACTTGTGGTGTACTTGGACTAGGGTCTGACCCTATAGCAAAGTGCTCACTAAGTGGTCCTTATTGTGTAGTGGAGAGTTGCGTCCAGAGTGGAGAACCACTGTCTGCTTCAGGACTTAGCGTCTGGAAAAGTGCTGGGCACTTGGTGGGCTCCCTGTGCATCTCTGGGAGCGGGGACAGCACTGGCCTTCAGTGCAGGAGCACACACTCCACTTAGGATCGCTGGTCACTCGTTTTTCTCTCCCTTTCATCTGGGAGCTCCTTGGGGGCAGTCACTCTCTATGAGCTATGCCCATTCCTCGCCCCAGCCGGACTCTTCCTGGGACCAGGATCCTGCATTTTAAACAATTTCCCAGGGAGCCCTTAACCACCCCCAACTTGGGACCCTCTGGGGTGGAGGAGAGGAGTTGGGGCTTGTTGCGTTCCTCTCGCATGGGCAGGCGCAGCGCCTGGCACCCGGGAAGCCCTCGGCGCCTGGAAGGCGAGATGGATCTGGCCCCGCGCTGGCCTTGGCCACCCCCTGCCTCACCGGTCACGCGCAACCGGATGCCGTGGCGGCTCTCGTAGCGGTCGTGGACGTCGCCTGCGAACTCCACGCGGCAGAAGTAGCGGCCACCGTCGGCCAGGGCGAGGCGCTCGACGCGCAGCGACAGGTCGTTGCGGCGCGGGTTGCCCAGCAGGCGGAAGCGGCCGTGCAGGCTGAGCGCCGTCTGGCACAGCTCGCTGCCGCGCGCCGCCGCGCACCGGAACACCTGCGGGCCCGCGTAGGGCTCGCCCGCGCGCCAGATGGCCGTTAGCGCCCCGTCGTAGTGGCGGTGCGGGTGCGTGAAGGTGCAGGGCAGCACCGCCGCGTCGCCAGCCGCCGCGCTCACCTCGGACGGCACCTGCATGGACCAGCGCTGCGCGGGCACGCCTGCGGGGGAGGGGGGCTGCGCTTTCAGGCTGGCCTGGGGTCCTCCTCCCCAGCCTCCGCAGGCATCTGCACCCCCTCCCCGCCTTAGCTCTGGAAACCCAGGGACTCAGGCAGCGCCCCCGGGAGGGCTGGAACCCACTTCCTGACTTTGAGAGGCGTCTCTCTAGGCCACGACTGGGGGGATAGGGTGGGGGTGGGGTGGAGGATTCCCTGGGCCCTTCTTTGGGGCTGTTTGCCTCATTCATGGAGTTTGGCTTCACAGGCCCGGTGACGCCGCATTCTTCGTCTGTGAGCTTTTCCCCATCAAAATTTGCTCCGCTGCCAAAAACCACTGATAGATAGCCTGTCTGCCAGGGGTCTCAGGATTCTCCAAGAAGGTGATGAGAAAATCACTTACTGTGCACCTCTGTGTTGAGCAAATTCCCAGTAGTATCTCTTTTAGTTCTCACGAGTGATCCTAGAATTAAGCATAGTTTTCCCAGGTTACATTTTTAATAAACTGAGGCACAGAGAAGTTGACAATTGTCTGAAGTCACAGACCCACAGTGAGCAAAGATAATGTTCAGACTCGGTACTTAGTTACAGGCATGAAGCCTTGGATTCATCAGAGGACATCAACACGCCCACTTATAGAGGGGAAACTGAGGCCTTGGAAGGGGCAGTGTTTTGAAGCTAATGTGTTATGTTGATGGAGGAGATTCTTCTAGAATCCAGGTGAACCCAAGTGGACCATGCCTAAACTAATGTCCCAAAAGGCTGGTAACAGGCAGGGAGCTGAGTGACTAGAGTGGTGGGTGCTGTGTTGCCTCCTTGCTTTGTGCATACACCTCTGAACTCAGTTTCTCTGCCTCCCACGTTGTGACCACTGAAAAATGTGGAACCAAGGGCTAGAAACCCTGCCTCTGACTCACGAAGAGTGGTGAGCCACAGTGTTCTTTGTTGTTTTTGCTTAGAGGGTGGGGAAGTGGGTACTCAGCCTGAAGTGATTAGCCTAGGCTGGTGCCCTAGGACACAGTGCACAAAAGGCATCTATAGAGAGAAAAATATTGGGCACAGAAGCCTGCACAACTGACTCCTAAAGCATCCAGGGGAGAAAGGCAGGAAAGATCTTGTTCTAGAAGAGAAAATGAAGTCACACAGATCGAAAGTGGGAGAAATATAGCTTTTCTAACTTCAAGCCCAGTATGCTTTGAGGTGGGTTAGCCCAACTCACTCCCTGGGCAGGAATCTCCTCCACCCACCACTGGCAGACAATCCACCATGCAGCCCACCCATCTGTGAATAATCTATGGCTCAGAAGCTCCTGCTGGGAGTGCCCAGGATCACCATTGCTGTTTGGAGCACGCACATCCTTTTCCCCTGCTGCCCTTCCAGGATTCCATCATGGGTACCGGATCTATACTTTCCTCCTTTCTGGTGGGAAAGTCCTAGTCCTTCACCTGCCCCTTCTCATCCTCCCTGTTCTCTCTTTCAGTGTAGTGTCCTGACCCAGGTGGCCCCAGGCGTGCTGCACCTGTAGAGTGATGTGAGTTCCACAGTGCTGCCTCCGGCCAGGGGCTGTGTCTCTCATAAAACCCCACTGTGGGTTAAAGCCCGGCTAATCATCAAGGAAAACCACAAGTGCTTGTTTTCATACTACCTGTTTTTAGGCCTTATCTCTTTTGTTCTGGACAAGTGGAATTAGGTTTTTTAACCAAAGTGGAGGACTTGGCATTTATCCCTGGTAAGAGCTTGTTTACTCAGTCATTGATAATCCAAAGGCTGAATTCCAAATTTGAGACACCCTGTGCAAAGGCAGTGCTGGCTCAAGCAGTACTTCTAGCTGCGGAAAGTATTTCTCTACTCAAGCCCCTGCCTCAGTTTCCCTGCCACTTCCCACCCTCTGTGACCTCAGCCTCCTCTGATGTCTTGCATCTTGGAGTCATGGAGCCAGGCACTGATTCCTCGTGTATTGTTTGCTATTGTGTGTTCATCATTTCAGCAAACACTTATTGGACACTTCCCCACTCCATGCCAAGTCCTTGGATATAAGCTGTGGTGATAAAGATGAACAGGACACCTTGTCACTCTGCTGGATCTCACAGCTCAGAAAGGGAGACAGATCTGTGAACACATAATTACACCACAGTCTGCCAGAGGCTCTAATGATGGATGTGAACAATATGCCTCTGTCTGAACATGGTTCCTGGCCTGTTTTCACTCACCAGCTCCCCTCTTTTCATCCTCAGTCCTCTGCTGAGTTGTCCCTGGGGCAGGAGGCCTTCCCTGAGCCCTGACTCTATATCTGGCCTCCCTCCCCAGTGCCCCAGGGATGGTACTAGCATCAGCCTGGGCATTGCCTGTCTTTATTATGTCTCACCCAGCAGCTGTAGGAGGTCAGGGACAAGCCTGTGTGGCTCTACTCCTGCTGCTGTTATTCACATAGTCCCTGACCCTAATAACTGAGCTGCTATGAGAGAGCAGAAGAGAGTGGGTGGGGGTTGGGAGAAGGTGTGCAGATACAGCACAAGCAGGGATTGTAGAACCCAGGAAATGTGTGTTAGCAAAGCCTAGAGACAGGAGCCTTGAGGTAATGTTCTAGGCAACAACAGAGCAAATCATGAGGCATGGACACTTAGGGGCATAGAGATTGCAAGACACATGGGAAAAGAGGCCAGACCGCTGAAGATCGGAGGGGGTAGTTGGGGAGACATCTCATTTAAAATGTACAACAAGATAACGAACAAAAAACCCAAAACAAAACATTAAAAAGCCCCCGTCCCAAACAAAATAAAATAGACAGCCACCCCATGAGGTACCATCATTAGTCCCCTTTGAGGAAAGGGGGAACTTGGGGCTTTCAGGGCCCAAGTGACATGGCAAAATCATTTGACTGACCAGTTGCAGAGCCACAGCTTGCGCTTAGGTAGTTCTGCGATCTTTACCTTGTTTTTACCATAACCCCTCTGCGCATTTGCCCTGAGGTATAATACAAATGGCAGAACAGGTTTTGCTTTAGGAGCAGAAGGGGACACAGAGGTCCTTTCACCAAGGATTCTGATCTTGGCTCCTATTAGGAGGTGATGTGTGCTTCCTGATTACCTGCTGAATGGAGTTCAAAGAGACTGGCACCTACCTCCCTCTTACACAGAGGCCTCCCTCCTATACCTTTGTATGAGCCTGCCCAAGGGACTGAAGGTGAGAGTGACAAGCCCAGGGAACAAAGGCATTTGCTTTGGCAGGAATCTGAGCTCCCCAGCATCCCAGCATGGTGACAGTTACCATTGCCTCAGGCATTTCTTGCCCATCTGCTAAGACAGGGGAAGGTGACTCCTGAATTGGAACCATATCCCTTTACTATAGGGTCTCTAACCTATCTGCCTCATGTCTAGCCACTTCCAGGGGTCAACAGAAGGCCCACACAGGGAGCACACCAGCTTTGGTACATCTGAACCTAAGTGACCATCCCATCTCCGGTCATTCTTTTATCAGACTTTTATCAAACACCCGATCTGTGCCTGGCACTGGTTTTGGCTCCTTCACTATTGGATGATCTTTGGGTGAGTTACAAATATTCCAGGTCTCAGGTTCGTTTGCTGCAAAATGGGGACCATAACAGAGTCCTCATAGGACTGAAGAAAACCACATAGAACACACAGCAAATGCCCTTCATGTGCCAGCTCTTTTCCCTCACTAGCCTTGCAAAGGTAGTGTAAACAGAGGGATGGGTGGGCTGCTAGACAGTGGTGGAGAAGTGCACAGGGGGACATGTCAGGGGGTTCAGACACTTGTAGCCTGACCACTGGCAGCTCCAAGTGGCATCTTAGACCAGCTGAAGTACAATAGCCCAGGCCTTGTCCTTACCTCACCTGGAAGCTGGTCATACATTCACTCACTCCACAGATATTTATGAGAGTTTACTGTTGATGAGACTGCTGGGTTTTAGAATACAGTTGACATGACAATGACCTCCTCATTATGTTGACCGTCTAGACATTTCTTAATCCAGGGAAATAAAAACTGAAAAGCTGGAAAGTGGTTTTGTTTATAAGCCCATTGAAGGAAGCAAGAAATGACAGATGCCCTTCACTCTGTGATCAAGGGTTCAATACAATCAAGGAAAAGACACCTCAGAGCAGAAATGATAAACTTACAGTATCAAAGGGACCGTTCCAAGGAGTTGGCCCTGAGTCATCAGATCATTGCCTCAGGCTGGTGTAACAAGTGTGCACAGGGATAAAAGTTCATTGTCAGGGGAGATGTCTTATTTTAGTGGTGCATTCCTTGCACAGAGGGTCAGGGGTCTGGCTGGGAATCCAGCCCTGTATCCAAAGCTAACTCTGAGTAAGTCTCTACAGCTTTTTAGCTTCAGCAGGCTCACCCATGAAATGATATTTCTAGATGCTTACAAAAGTGACTTTTAAGTCTAAAAATTTATGTTTGAAAACCAAATTTGAATAGAAATGATGAGGAAGTATATAAAATATTTTAGAAATATGTCTAGATAGCCAGGAGTGGTGGTGCATATCTGTAATCCTAGCACTTGGGGGCAGGAGGATCATAAATTCCAGGCCAGCCTGGGCTATGTAGTGAGAATAAAAAGAAAAAAAAAGAAATATGTCTAGTTAAATTAAAGACTTTTAGGTACTTAAAAATAATCCAGGCCAGGTGCCAGGGCTCACATCTATAATCCCAGTTACTCGGGAGGCAGAGATTGGGAGAATCAATATTCAAGGCCAGCCTGGATAAAACATTAGTGAAACCCCCATCTCGATCAATAGCTGAAATGTTGATGCACACCTGTGATTCTAAATACATGGGAAGCTGTAGGTAGGAGGGTCAAGGTCTGAGGCGATCTCAAGCACAAGTGTAATGAGACCCTACCTGAAAAAATAACTAAAGCGAAAAAGGACTGGGGGCTTAAGTGGTATAAGTGCCTGCCTAGCAAGCATGAAGCCTGAGCTCAAACCCCAGTGCTGTCAGATACATATATAATTATTCATACCTTCCTGATCCTTTGTAGCCATTTTCTAAATGCTCCTGTATCTCCCTTTATGGTGGCAGATCCAAACAGGGTGGGGTGTCAGGCATAAGCTCCCACATAAGTATAGTCACGACTCAGAGAGGAGTTGATCTGGAATCTCAAAGTCCCCCACCATGGGAAGAGATTCATGGGAGAAAGGACACAGTGCAGAATGTGGGTGGGGAGAAGTGGCCACTGTGTGGGATCAGAAATAGAAACTTGGTTTTGCTCACAGCTGACCAAAGATTTCACCAGTCCCTCCACCAGTGAGGATGGAGGCGGGATTTGCATGGAAACTCTGTTGGTCATCTGTGGCCTGTTGAATGCAGACACACTTAGTTTAACCACATAGGAAACTGATTATGGGTTATATGGCCAAGTGGGGACAGGTACTATGTATGCACAACTGTGCGTGTGTGGGCGGGGGGTGGGGGGCAGTTGCTGGAGATGGAACCTAGGGCCTTTTGCATACTAGGCAAGTGCTCTGTCACTGAGCTAAACTCCTGGCCTTCATGTATCTTTTGATGTTTCCACAATTCTTAAAATTAAAGGTTCTCTCCAGGGTGTCACAGACTGGAAAGTGAGTCTTATGGTGGTCACAGTGGGACAATGACCAGAGGGTGTGCCCTACAGACTGGCCCTTTGACAAGAATTAGTTCTTCTGGGGCCAGTTTTATAGGACAGTTTTTTTTGAAGGAGCAAGTTATGGTTTTTGAGAGCTGGGGGAACATGGTGCCAAGTGGGCACCATGACTGCTTGCAGGATGGATGGCATCAGGTCACTGAGAACAGGAGTCCCTCAGAGACCTGTGCTTTTGTGCCAGCCTCCTAGGGCTGACATTTCCAGATGATAGGCAGCTAATTTGAAGAGCCCAAGCCACCCTCCTTGGGGCTACCTAGGCGTGCTAACTGGAGTATCTTGGGAAGTGGCTTCATTGGTGCCTCTTGGGCATTGTGGCACTTGGAGGGCCAGAAAGGGCATTGAACTTCACCAGTGGTGTGTGGGTCTGGTTGGGGCACATAGCCCTGGGTTTCCCGAGTCCTTCTCTGGGCTTGCAGACTCTCAGTGGAGAGAGTGAGACAGGGATGGAGACCAGGGAGGAGAGGTTAGGAGAAGCAGGATTCTATTTCTTTCCAGACCCAGAAAGTTCCATGAATGGGTAACTTTGAGTGAAAGGCTTGGCTGGTCTCCATCTGCCCTTAGGGTTAGCCCAGCTTCCCCTTTAACCTTTGTCTCTCCAGTCCTGTGGTTGTGGCTGTGGATGTAAGTATGGCCTGTTTATGTGAGTTGTGGAGCTGCAGCCACAGACTGCCCCTGTTCTGGGGCTAGTACCCACCATAGAACACTGCTTTTCAGAGTTCTGATGTAGCTGATCCCTGTCCTGCTCCCCTGGCCTCCTGGGAGTGACCGAGCTCCTCTTTCCTTCTCCCCTCTCTGGGTAGAACAGCTACTGGGAGCAGAAGAGTCCTGCACGTTAAACCCTCGCATTTCTTTCTGTCCCTAGGACAACAGCCCGGCTCCTCTCTAACCTTTCTCTGCATCCCAAATAATTACCCAGGTCCTGGGGTGATTGCTACAACTTCTCTTTGCCATTTTGGTTTGTTTTTCTGTAGTGGTTCAGAACTGGTAAAGTGAACAGCCCTTAGCACCATGCTTTGTCCCAGGTCCCCCTGTACATAGGCTGTGTGAAGAGCCAGGCATGTCCTCAGAAGACTTGCCAGTCACATCCAGGCTGTGATGTCCCAGCGAGGCCACCTAGGCTTCCCAAACTGCCCTGAAACAGGACACTGTTTCTCTCCTCGCAGGTTGGTGATGAGCTGTTGGTCATCCCCGAGCACAAAGAGAATCCTGAAGACAGAAGCTATTGTGATGGCCCCGCCTACTTACTGCAAGCTGTGGAAGCACTAAGCCCTTATCCAAGGTCACCCAAGTGGTTAGAGCTCCCAGACCAGTATTTGTCTCCCTGCCCCATACTTCCTGGCCTCTCCAGTTTTCAAAAACTAGGTTTGGGAGCTCCTGGGAAATTAAGGTATTGGGTGCTCAGCATAGGTGACCTGGAATGAAGGAGAAGCACATGGAAAGTGGAATTTATGGGATGAATTCTCTCTCCCCCTTCTCTTTCATAAAGGGCCTGCCCTGGACTACAATCTCCTAGATGTGGGTAGGGCAGCAACTGGGGTCCGTGGACTTACATTAGCAGAGCACCTTGCTCATGGGGACCTGAGGACCTGCACATGGCAGTCAGTTGAGGCTTAACCTCAGTATCTCCTGCCCAGGCAGCCATGTAGGTCCTCTGGCTGAGCCATATGGACAGGTTCCTAGGTGAACCACAGTCAGAAGGGGTTTAGGAAGTGGGGTTCCTGGATCACAGCAGCTCATGGGACTTGAGGTTTTAACAGTAAAGAGACTGCTGGTGTGTAAAGAAAAGGGGTCTCCTGGTATAAGTCACTTGTGTTCTCAGCACAGCCAGAGTATGTGTGTGGTTTGGTTTTGCTTCTTGGACATGTGACTGCCTTACTCATACTTCCTCTCTAGATCTCGTCTTTCCTGATTCATAGCAGCTGACCCTCAGCTGGAGAGAAAAAAACCAAAATGGATCCCCAAACCCTAAAGCCCCGCCTCTCTCGAAGTGCTATGACTCCTGCAGCATTGTGCATCTACAGAGCACCACGCACTGCGTGGGGGCTGCCTCCCTGGTCTAGTTACCCTGCCCCACAACCAGGACGAGTGGCAGGGACCCATTCTACAGGAGCCTCAGCTAGTGAACAGCAGAGCCAGGATTCAAAGCCAAAGCCACAGCTGATGTCAACATCCTTGTCTGTTTTTTTTTTTTTGGCAGTACTGGGTTTCAAACTCAGGGTCTCATGCTTGCTAGGCAGGCGCTTTACCTCTTGAGCAACTCAGCCAGCCTGACACCTTTATCCTATCTGCTACCCTAGGTCTAAGCAGAGTCACCTTCTCCAGCTCCTTCCTTTTTAGGTCAACCCAACCCTAAATCATCCCAGGAAGATTGCTGAGTTAAGTCAACTTGGGAAAAGATAACCCCTTTCCTCTCTTTGTCCTTGCCATGGGACAATGATCGTGTATGAGTTGTGGGGGAGACAGCCTCGTGTCATGTACACCCAGGTGCAAATCCCAACTCTACCTGGGCCACTGACTGAGCCTCTCTGTGTCTGTTTCCTCGCCTGTGACAAAGGAATATAAATAGTTCTTTCTCACAGGGCTCTGAGGCTTTTGTGAATTACTGCAGTACCAGCACGTCCTAAGAATGACGCAGGTGCATTCTATCACCATGCAAACCAGACGGGAGCTGGACTCCACACCGAGTTAAATGCTAAGAAAAAGGATCTCCTGTTCGTAAAGTGTGGGAGTTTATGATCCAGTGTGGGGACAGGACCCCACACCAGGAATGTTGACTGACAGCTTAGAATGCCACAGTGTCAGTATATGGCATATGATGGTCATGCACATGGTGACATAGATGATGGGTCCAAGGAGCACAGCTATGAGAGAGATGTACCAGGCTGGGGTTGGGGAGAGAACTAGACCTGGAGAGAGGGGCTCAGGAACATTGCTTTTGCTATTTGTCCCTGCTACTCTCAACTGCATTGGGCATCAGAATTTCCCAAGTAGGTGGTTGGAAATGTAGACTCCTGGACCTTGCCGCCTCATATTCTGACTCTGCAGGTCTGGGCTGAAGTCAAAGAATTTGCTTTTTTTTTTTTTTTTTTGGCAGTGCTGGAGATCAAACCCTGGTCCTTGCACAAGCTAAATAAGCACTTTCGCTTGAGCTACCTCTCCAGCCAAGAATTTGCATTTTAACTAATTGCTCCCTCCTCTGGAATTCTGATGCAGGTGGTCTCTGCATCCTTTGGGAAACGCTGATCCCAGGGACTTATCAATTTGTTAAATGACATTGTTACCTCATCCTGCTAGACAGGGTCTCCACTCACTGCTTGGGGTTCCTGCTGGGAGATCAGGGTGGCCTCTATCCCTGGCCCAATTCCTTACATGAAATCACCCCGATCCTTACCCCAACACTATCCCCAAACAGCCATGTGCCCTTTTCCCCTCATCCTTGGAACTGTGCCCATCAAGACACAGAACACTTGGATGACAGCAACACCCAACATGTATCCAGAGCCTGCTCTGTCTTCCCCATTATTCCCTTTACAGCAATGGATGAGGGAGGTGGCCTTTTACACTGAGGGACACTGAGACCCAGGAAGTCAGAGGGACTGCCTCAAGTCACATAGAAACCCAAGATAAAGGCCAGATTTGAACCTCTGGTTCTGTCACCACAGCCCTCTAATGCACAGCCTTTCCTCCTCCACAGACCTGGAGGTCCTGGGCAAGCCCAGTTGCTGAGTTCCAAGTGAAGAAGGCCATAGCTAAGACTATCTATTCTGGGCCAAAGTAAACGATGGAAACTCACCCATGGGGACAACACACACCAAGCAGGCCAGGAGTTGAATGGACCCTTCCATGCTGTAACATCTGGAGATCCAGCAGCCCCACACCTGACCAGGGTTACCAGCAAGAGCCCCCTGGGCGTGGGTATGGTGAAGGTAGGTGGGTGGGCAATGTGCCCAGGTCTGCAGGCCCCACCGGGCTCTCAAGTTGCTGGAGGAACAGGGGACAAGCGGCCAGCAGCAGTGTGATTAGACCAGACCCGTGCAGTTTAGTCATGTGGAAAAGCAAGAGGGAACCACTGGGAAGATTTTCCAGGACAGGAAACAGGAAAGTGGATGGGGAAGAAGCAGGGCTCCTTCCTGTGGATGCTGGCTTGCTTTCTACCTTCCTTCCTCCTTTCTTTCTTTCCCACTCTCCCTTCTTTTATTTTTAGTGTACTGCATGGGTTTTATCTCTCTCTATACCCATCTTTTCTCCCCTTCCTTACCATCTTTTGGTGAGATGTCAAGGGGAGGAGACTGACAACTAATAACTTGTGAAATGAGGCTATGGAAAGTTGTCAGCATTTTCAACATAAAGGCTGGTGATTCACTTTCATGACCAGAGTCCCCTGTACAGGGCCTGTGATCCTAGAAGAGCACATCTGAAACTTTAATGGTCATAATGATAACTGAAGATCTTGTTAAACTGTAGATTCAGATCCAGGCTATCTGAGGAAGGCAGGTGATTTGCATTTCCAACAAGTCCCAGGTTAGGCCTATACTGATACTTGAACCACACATCACAGAAAGCTAAGGGGCTTCTCCATCTCGGGAGTCATAGTGCAGCACCCTCAGGTGGAAGTCAGGACACTGGGAAGGAGAAGGAAGTACTCCTGGAAGCCTATTGGATGGGCTCGTGGTTGGTGGCGGGAAGAGAACTGATGGTGAGAGCCTGTGGGAGTGGGAGTTGGACTAGGATTTAGACTGTGATGGCCAATTTCTCTTCTGGTAATGCGCTGGACTTGTGCCCTCTCACACCATGCACGGGTTTCATGAGCATTGTGACCTTGGCTTCTTCTCTATGTTGGACGGTAGTGGAATTTGCAACTTTGAAGTCTAAGAGATAAATGAGATGTGGTTTGTAAAATTCATGTAAGGCAAAGGCTCTCACTATTTACTTATATTTATTTAACATATATTAATTGTACCATGCATATAATATACTTTGATCAAATTGACCTCCTGTTATTCTTTCTTATCCCCTCACTTTTTTCTACAATTTTTAATGTGGTTCATAATTCTATTTTCTTACATGCATATTGGCTCTCTCTACTTAAAACCAGCCCTATCAAGGTGGCAAAGGAAAATGTTATACTCCAAGTGACTGTGCTAGTGGTGATTTACAGTTCTCCAAAAGTGGGGATTCCTGTCTCGCCAAGTAAACTCCTAAGAGGCAGAAGACAGGATTTTCCTCATTGGTGGTGTGGCTTGGCCAAGTTGCTCCACTCTGGACCTCATTTGTGTCTTCTGTCTGGGAAGTGCCCTTCAGTGCACAGTCTTGATCCAAATTTGAGTTCTATGGAGAGAGTTGGTAGGAAGTGTCAGAAGAGATGGACAGAAAGTCCTTGGTCTTATTCAAGATAAAATTCAGGGGTGGATACACAGAGGAGTTTCTAAAATTTCTCTAAAGCAGAGCAGTTTTTTTTTTAAGTAAAAGCTTGATTTTATTAAAGCAGAAGTGATCATAAGCAATAATACACCCCCGAAAGACACTGAGGGTGGACAGTTTGATCAAGTGCATTGAGCTGCCAGTCTCAGGTATTTTTGTGATAAGGTTTTGTGATTGTGCTAAGGATATGTGCATTAACTGTGGAGTTTTCCAACAAATGGGAGGTCATTTCCAAGAACCAGGGAACGGGGAGTGGTTTACTTAATAATAAGGTGTCCTCAGAGCCAAGATGGCTATATTTGAGGGGGTGTGTGCATGAAACTGGAACTTTAATGAGATGTAAATGAGACTCTGGCTAACCTTTAGAGTTGGGGACAGTCACTATTGGGTCCTTGCTGGGGACCATTGGCCATTGTACCAAGAAGTAAGTAGCCTCAACCATTACTTCAGGACAACAGTGGAGCAGGAGGTTGGGAAAATATACCCAGATAGAGTATTGCATCTATTCCCTAGCTCCTTTGTGATAACCTAGCTGACTAACCCTTATCAGAAGGAATCATGTTTATTCAAGTTCCAGCCCTGAAGAAGATGGATGGGTGACCACCCCCAAAGCTCCTTTTCAGGGGTTTCGGGGTGCAAAGGCCTTTTATGGGGAAGGAAAGGAAGAGCAGGGCAGGAAGACTACAAGCTGAATGAGGCTGTCATCACCTAGAGTGCTGTCTCCTTTTTTCTTCTTCAGAACATCACAATGGATAGAGCAGCTAAGGCAGCTTTTCTAGTTCTTTTTAGACAAATTACTTTTCTGCAAGTTCAACCTCCCGTTGATTTCATGTTAGTTGATGCATAGAACTAAAGACTGAGGAGGAGTGTTACAAGGGTCACCACATGTTCTGTGTTCTGTAAATCTAAACAAAGATTGTTTAGCAGTTAACGTCTTAACCATTTAGGCGGGGTTTCGCTCTAGAATTTAGAATGCTGGGCAAAAGGGAAGGAATGACGTAAAAGGATTAGGGAGAACAACGACCTTAGGAAAGGGCAAAGGGGGTAAACTCTGCTGAGGACAACTCCCCAAAGGAGCGGCTTTGTCATTCTAGGGCTTCTCTTATCCCAACAGGGCCAGTCTTTGGTTTATAACAAGCATTATGGAGGAAACAGTAAATAGAGTGGAAGATGTGATGTCAAAGCTTGGCTGGGTGCCCGTGTATATAAGTGTAGAGATCCGTAGATGTATGTATACATGCATACATAGTATATCCACACAGTAACAGCTTAATTAAGTGGGTACCTAACGTTTATGCTGGTATTCTCTTACAATAAGCCAATGCACTATCTTCTCTCAGTCTGTCTTTTACTGGTTTAAGGTCTACATTGCTTGCTGCTTCAAGGCCAATATTCAGGAGACAAGAACTGGTAGGAAGGAAGCAAATTTATTCAAGAGCTGGCCCTGAAAAAAATGGAGAGTCTATTAATGTCAAAACTCTGTCTTGGGGGGCTCAGGTGTACAAAGGGCTTTTATAGGAAGGAAAAGGAGGACCAGGGAAGGAAGGCTACATGGTGACCAGGGTCTTCCTCAACCAGGGCATGTGTCTCATTTTTTCTTCTCTGAGATATCCTTTTTTCTTCTTTAGAACATTGCAATGGACCGCCACCTCCTGGGGCTAGCTCTTATAGTTCTTTTCACTCTAATCACTTGTTTTTGGACAAGTGACTCATTGGTAGGCATGATTATGGGGGAACAGCACAGTAGACTGACTCCAGGGGACTATGCTGGAGGATATATTTGACCCTGCAGCCACCAGAGATTGAGCTGGTTGTCAACCACCATGTCTTCAAATGCATCCACATTAAAATTGGCAAAGCCCTACTTTGTTTTGATCAAACATTTTTTTTTCTTTGAGATGTGGGTCTTCTGGCAACCAGGAAACTTGAACTTAGCCCTGCCTCGGACCTTGAGCACATGTTCCTTGTTCTGCAGCTTGGTGTAGATGGCCATGATGACATGGCTGATGAGAACCTCGGCCACCGTGTCCTGGGGCTTTCCAAAAGCACCCTAAGTACCTGTCTAGAGCCTACACTTGGGACAGCACAAGGTCAGAGACTCAAATGTCTAGTGGAAAGTACCGTCTCCAGGTCTCTTAGGGCAACACATATAAGCAACATGCTGTGTGCACAGCCTCGGAGGTGCTGTGATTGCACACTGCGGTACACCTCACATGAGTGTACATGCTTTGTGTTGACTGATGTGTAGAACTAAAGACTGAGGAGGGGCGTTAGAAGGTTCGTCGGATGTTCTGGGTTCTGTAAATCTAAAGGATTATTTAGTACTTAGCATCTTAGCCAGTTAGGTGGGGCTTCTGGCTAGACTTTAGAGCACCTTGCAAAAGGATTAGGGAAGGGCAGAAGGGCAAAGGAGAGTGGACGAATAACTTTGCCAAAGACAACTCCCCAAAGGAGTGGCCCTGTCACACCTGGGCAGGCCCATCTGTGACTGTATAATTTATTATCTAAATTGGGTCACTTTCATCCGGAGCAAATGCTAATCTGTCAGAATACTGGTACAATAGTTAAGAACCGGATGCACCTGGGCAAACCAGATATAAGGGCCTGGGTTTTGTTGTTGTTTTCTTTTTTCTAGAAGCAGACACTAATGTGTTTCTTGGAGACTGTCTCAAAAGCTTTATGGGCTGACTCATGTCATTCAGAGGTTGCTGTGTCATTTTTCCTTTTCACCCTGGGGGAGGCATGGAAGGCAGTGGGAGCTCCAAGTACAGACTATCCCATTTAGGATATGAAAGGGATATGCACTTGGTAGAAACTGTACTTCAGTTTTTGAATTTTAAACTTTTCCCAGGCTAGTGACATGCAGCGTGATCCTTTTTCAAGACGCTGGATAGAGGCAAAGAGGCATGGTTCCCATTAGCCATGAGGACATGAGAGTGAGCAAACAATGCCCTACGGTGTGCTGTGCTGCTCAACCTTGACGCTCAGTAGGTCAGGGGTACCAGATGCGTTTTCACCTTCACGATATTCTCAACTTACGGTAGGCTTATCAGGATGTGACCCCGTCCTGAGTGGGGGATCAGTATTCCCAGTTATCCAGAGGAGAACTTTGTCCTTCCATTTCTAAGTTCCTTTGCCTTGTTTTTCCTGGGAGTCACTGTCTGAGGGGGATTGAGATGTACGTGCACAGGGGTGAGCTGTGGGTCAATGCTGGCGTCCCATAGCTGAAGAAACAGGTGAGCAAATGTGCACAGGGGCCATTGTGATTTACATACCCTATAAGGTTGTGCAGTACTCAACTTTCACAAGGGTATGTGATGTCTCCGTGTGAACGCCCAGGCAAAGGCAAAGGCAAGGAAGGGGTGGAACATGAAAGCAGAATTGTTTCTAGGGAGTTCGGGGTCCTTCCCAGACAGACACTCTT